CCACGCGGGGCCCACGGCCCGGGCCGCCGCCGGCAGCCGGTCGCGCCACGGCCGGCTCGGGTCCCAGTCTGTCTCCGACCAGGCTCTGCTCCGCAAGGCTCGCCGCCGCTAGAGCTCTCCGTCGCCGCTCTCGCCGCCGCGCAAGCCTTCGCAAGCCCTTCAAGCCTTTGAAGCCCTGCGCGCGCCTTGAAGCCCTCCTCTTCAAGCCTTCACCCTTTTCTCTCCGTGCCGCCGTGAGCCGAACCGCTGGCGCTGCCGGTGTCGCCTCACCTCGCCCCCCTCCAGTTGATGAGCAACCCTCAGGGTGTCCCGTTTGTCATCTCTCCGGTCCGCATCAGAAGGTGAGCACCACGATCACCTCCACCAGGACCTCGCCGTCGTCGCCGCCGCCGCGGCGATGGCGAGCACCCGCGACCAGCAGGTGGACGATGAGGATATTACCTTGCCGCAGGTCAGTGGGTGTGGGTGGCGGGTGGCGGCGCGCTGTCCGCGGGGGGAGGCGAACTGTGTTGCACAAGTGACGGTGACCTGGTTAGTCGGACGTTCTTGTCGTCTCATTTTGCACCGTCAAGAACTAACTACTATACTGATTGTGGTTGTGCCGATGGCGCTCTGACGCCCCCGATACACCTCAGCGTGCGACACGTTGCCTAACCTCCCGGACGCACGGCGCCGGCCTCAGACTCCCGGACTCCCCCCGCGGACATGACGGTCGTCAGCTACTCGGCCCCGCCGAGCGTGACCGTGTCAGCCGGGCGGGCGGGCTGCTCGCGGCACAAGGCCGCGGGGTGACGGGGGGCGTTGGACCCGCCGCGGCCCCGCCAGCCACCCCGTCCACAAACACCGCGGAGATGTGACCGTGTTGTGGTTGTGCACGTGGTGTCCACGCGGAGATGGGGCGTTCTATATATACATATAATTTGTTTCAAAAAGTTACTGTACCAATTTTAAATTTTATTTTAAACTTGTCGTCCGTCGTTTAATTATGTTGTCTAAATTGACGAGCTAAACTGAATCGATATCGTTTACTATATTGTCACACCACGTCCATGTCGTCACACTGCCCCCACGCCCTTGCTCGTCGTCACACTGCACCCCCCCAGGTCTGTCACCCATGCCGTCACCCCCGCACGTCACGTGGGCCGATAGCTCGTCGCCAAGGCAGGTGCCCTCTGCGCCTTTCGTCCTGCGCCTTATCTATCCTCAACAAGTGGACAGCAAAGCCTTCCACTGACTGCAGTGTAATCGTTCGATGTAGGTTTTTTTTCGTTTCCCCCTAATGCGCCCATCGGCTTTTTATTCGGTGCGATTAAAACTTTTCGGGACGAAAATTTCGAGTGGCTTTTTGGGTGCGGCCGCCCGGCCCCCGGCCAAGCGGCGCCGGCTAGTTGGCGCCGGCCGAGCCCTACCGTCGTTGCTACAGGTGCCGCCTCCTCGATGCGATGGTGACTTTAGGGGGTCCAAATGTCACGGGGTCCCGAAAAAGGAACAGGGCGTGGTCATTGGGAGTCCACAGTGATCCCATAGTGGTGTACGTATACTCGCGGGGGTACACACCTAGCATGAAGCTCCTTTTGACTCTAAATATTATTGGCTCTCACAAAGGATAGAGTCGAGACGGTCATATTGGAGTACCTAGTGACTGCTAGTAGTGACCCTATGATATTTTTACCCCGGGGATACAAATATCATAGTGCTCATATCGGCTTCATTCCTCGTCCTGATTCTTTTGGGGATACCATATGATATTTGTATGTCCCAATTTAAGTCACGCCGCGTGCTTTACCGCGTGCTCATTTACGTCATTATATTTGTACCCCCCCCCC